AGTAAAAGCTTTAAGGGATTTCATGTGACCGCACGAGTGCCCAACTCAAGCACTACTGTCGGCAAATTCACCGCAACCGCCAATACTAAAGTCCTCACATGTAATCCCACGTCTGTAAGTGTCATCGTTTTGTGTCATAATTGTCTAAATATTTCTTAATAATAATTGTTTGCAAATTGTTTGTAACGCTTCCAGAATGCCATAACACATAAGAATAATGATGATAAAAGTAGCGTTACATTCAATTGGACGGCACCCAAGAAATTCAAAGGCAAAGTCGAGTTCAGGTAAGAATTCATTGGAATTTCTATGTTTTATTTAAAATATTCTTTAAATATTCCTTCCCTTTAGAGCAACAATTGTTAAGGAATTCAAGGAATTCTATACTAATGTCAGATCAGCTCAGGTGACCATTAGTTAAATCTAATCCTTTTTTCAGTTAAGACTTATTTTTACAATAATCTCTTTTAAAAATTAAAATTTTATATGAATTATACAAAATTTTATTAGAAATATAATTAAATATTTTAAATTTTTGATGAAAATTCAATTGTAAAACTGAATGGCAAATTAAATTATAATTAATGATAACACAATTACTTGTGATTTTAGTCAAGTATAACAATTTATTGATTTATGATTTTTAATTTTATTTGGGTTTAAGTTAGCCTAAACCCAGTTTGGGTTAAAAGATTTAAGTGATTCTGTTTCCAAAAATATTCCATTGGTTACCTCTGTTTATGGCTTAATCGTTAAGCCATTAATATTTATTCAGGGCTTTAAACCGTCTTTAGTGTAGACATATTGACTGCAATGAATCCATCATCGGTTTAGGCATCCATTTCTTATTGATTCGCAATAATATATCACATTTTCAGAATTGTATAATAAAAATATAATCTCAAAGTAGTGTAAACCACGGAATATAAGATAAAATTATTTATTTAATTGATTAAAAAATCAAAATAAATTGAATCAAACACGAGTTTATTCACACAAATCGTGAATGTGATCGATGTTTACAATATTATATTACTGGTATAGAGAAATATAATTTAACAATAATTAAATGTCAATTAAAAGCTGAAGATTGTTTAACTCCAAGAATTAGTGATAATTACTGAGAACTATAAACAGTTGATGAATCGGTGGCCTCGAAGGGAACCGCTGTATAAGTGGTTTGATTGGAGTTCGATAACTGATTGGTAGTGTAAGTGACCGAAGGGTTGCGACTTGTGGTGAATGTTGTCGTCTGATAGTAGGGAAGTGTGAACTGCAAGAGAACCGGATCCCCCACTTGTGTGGTCTCCTGATTAACAACTTGCGAGCTTTTCTTCTTCGAGTCGTTCTTCGCTTCAATCTTTGTCCGAACGACAACCGAATCGATCGACTTCTCGATCGTATCCAACGATGACTTCTCAATGTCTGGTTTGGCGTCGATATCATTCATAATCTTCAAAATACTGGTATAACTCAAAGTGAGACCCAATGAATGCAAAAACTTGAAGCCCTCGCGGTTACAACCGGCGCGTCTCAAGACATAACTCAAAATGTGTTGCAATGTATTTGATTGCATTGAATGCATGTATAGAATGACACCCATTATTAGAGCGGTGGCCGAGTGCTCGTCCAGCGTATCCCTCGGCTCCACNGAAGCCCTCGCGGTTACAACCGGCGCGTCTCAAGACATAACTCAAAATGTGTTGCAATGTATTTGATTGCATTGAATGCATGTATAGAATGACACCCATTATTAGAGCGGTGGCCGAGTGCTCGTCCAGCGTATCCCTCGGCTCCACCGGAATCAGAGATTTGATTAAATTTGCAGTTTTCGGACACTTCATAAACACTTCGGACGTAAATGACTTCATGTCCAACTGAGTCACGTCCTGATGGTCGGGCACTCTCATAGTTCTGGCCGCCTCTTTGCACTCCGACACCAAACGTTTCGAGTGGTTCTTCATTACAGCGGCGCACAACTTGTCAGAGGCGGCGATCTTACGTCCGGCCGGATCTGGTCGTCGTAATGCCATATCTCTTATAATCGATTTGATGTCGCCATCCATTGTTCGCTTCCATTGTTTGCTGCCATACAAGAGCTGAACGACAACTTTGGACTCACCGGCCGGTGGAAGCGGTGACGAAGATCTGGGTGTATACGCCCTCTTACTATAACCTCCTTTACATAATTTAGATTTTTTCTTTGTGTCCATTTCGTTATCACTAAACATATAATCATTTAGAAACTGATTGATTCGCTCATCTCATACTCACTCTTCGCAATACTGATCATCAAAGGCTTCTTCGTCGCCGCCTTTCCTCTTATGTATCGCTTGGTTGACAACAATAACGCCGTCGTTATAGACGTCCCAATCCTTCTCTTCTGCGGGAATAGTAGTAATCGCTTCGTTCGTCTCATCCTCTTCTCTCATCTCAATGTCTTCGCGATCATCGGCTCGAACTTCTTCGAGCTCTTCAGCCCTCTCGTCACAACTCTCGTCCATTTCATTGT